CTTCGCGGCCACCGGAGTATGACACGTGACTACAGTTTGCATTGAATTGTGGGTCATATCAACCCCACAAGTGATCAAAGTTCTTCACTCGCTCCCTCAAGCTAAATCGAGGGCTGAGGGGGCAACGTTAGTGACTTGGACCTCCACTTAAGATGTCAATTTTAATGCATCCGGTTTTAACGGGGGATTCCCCCAAGGGAAAGTGGCTAGCGCGAGGGCTGAAGGGGTAAAAATTACGTGCTTGGACTGCAGCCAAAGCCTCACTTGTGCTGCCACTGTGAAAAACAAGTCAATGGACCTTTATTTATTGTAATTTAATTTAAGTGTTGAGTTAGATTACATACTGTAGCTACCCCAGTCGTTATTTTAAATGTAATATTGGTGACTTCACAGCAATTGTTAGCTATCTGAAATTTAGCTAGCTAGCAGGCTCAGCTTATTACAAATCCCACTAGATACAGCCACATCTCATAGTCACATCATCAAATTTGTAAATTAATGGAGTTTCCCATCTTCCAATTTAGAGTTTCTGGCGCAGATGTCACGACTTCGGCCAAGGCTGCCTCCCCTCCTTGTTCGGGCAGGCTTCGGCGTTCGTCGTCACCGGCTTACTAACCACTACCGCCCCAATCATCATCACATTTGTCTTGTCTTGTCAATCACACACACCTGGTCCTAATCCCCTCATTAGTCTGTGTATAAGTGTCCCCTCTGCCCCCTTGTCCTTGTGGGTGATTGTTATTTGTGAGAGTAGTGTAGCTCGGTGGAGCTACTCGTAACGTTGTGTTGCCAGGGTAGATTTCCCCCTGTGCCTATGTATTATTGGATATCCGTTACAGTGTATTTGCTAGGGAGGATAGTTTCCCCTGTGCCTGTTTCGTTGATCGCTATTTGAGCGCATTTGTGTGTCTACGAAGGAATAAACTCTGTATTCGGTGATTACCCTCCTGCGCCTGACTCCTTTCCATCACACTCATCACAGCAGCACAGAAATGCCCTTATCCAGATGGTGTGACAAAGGCATTTCATAACAGACATGCTAACTTTCTTTGTTGTTTCTTTTAAGGTTGGTACCTCCAGCAGGAAGAGAGGCAAGAACCATTCATCTGCCAACTCGGGGACAAGCTACACTATTCACAACCCTGTGTAATGTTCAGTGCACCACAACAGTTGCTCAATTCAAACAGCGGTGTGTAGCCTACTGTAGCTGCTGGCAAAGTAATTCAAAGCCTATACTTTATTACTCAGGATGCAACTTTTCAGTGCTGCTATTTTTTCCATGTAATGTTATTAAAACAAAATCAGACAACCCCATAGTAGAATAGTTTACCTATTTACCTAGTCAGCTTGTTGTTGTGTGATCTACGAGAGATAAATATTCCTCTCGAGGTGCATTCAAGTTGTGAGAGCCATAGGGAGGTAAACATGTATTCTGACAAGCAGTCAATGCACATCAATTCGTAATGCAATCGCAGGAAAATGCTTTCGAAAGCAGTTTTGGTCTTTGTTAAAAAAGAGGAGGATCCCAGTTTTCCATTTATACTACGTTCTTTTCTCTACTCCTTCAATTGCACGAGTGGCATTGTTTAACAAATGCAGTTATAACCAGAGTTTCAAGCATGGTTTATGCACAGCAGCGCAACAACAGAGCTCTTAAAGGGTCAATGGTGTCTATTAAGGGCAATTAACTACTTTGTAATAGTATGAAAAAAAAAAATGTATGCACTCACTAACTGTAAGTTGCTCTGGATAAGAGCGTCTGCTAAATGACGTAAATGTAAATGTAATAGAAACCCCCAAAATCTAGACGTGTGTGAGGTAGAATGCCCCTTCACGGTCAGGCAGTTTACACTGTTGGCTTAATTATTTTTCCACAAGGAAAAGCTACAGCCATTCATGTCTCCTCTCCTTCATTCAGATTGTCTCATACACTAAGACTGATACTGTAGGTCTGTAGTGATCTTAACATAATACAGTATTGCGCAGTGTTTACTATAGACACAGTATATTACACTGTTGGCTTAATTATTTTTCCACAAGGAAACGCTACAGCCCATGTCTCCTCTCCTTCAGATAGTGTATGAGACAAAGGATGATACTGGGTCACTAGTAATCTTTCTTATTATACAGTATTGCGCAGTGTTTACTGTAAACAGTATATTACACTGTTGGCTTAACTTTTTCCACAAGGAAAAGGTACAGCCATTCACGTCTCCTCTCCTTCAGATAGTGTATGAGACTAAGGCTGATACTGTAGGTCCCATTCTATACTATCGAACAGTTTTGCGCAGCGTATACTATAGACACAGTAATATTACACTGTTGGCTTCATTTTCCAATATTGGGCTGAGTTTATATTAGCCCAACCATAGTGAGATTACACTGGTGTTTTTTTCACCCAGTTGCTGGGTTGTGATAGTTTTTGTTTCACTGTTTTACAGTACAGACAGTAACTATCATAGTTTTCCTTGGAAACTCACATCTCAGCTCTATTACACTGAGGGTTACAGTGTGTAGCTGTGTTTACTATAGTTATGTTGCACTACTTTACAGTACAGACAGTAACTATCCCTTAATTAGAATTGACAGCTCTAATACAATACTGTTTTTTTCACAGTGTGTAGCTGGGTTTACTATAGTTTTTCTGTTGCACTACTTACAGTAGGCTACATACAGTGACTATACTAGTTTCCCTTGGAAACTCACTTTTCAGCTATTTCGCTGCAGTCTTGCACAGTGTGTAGCTGGGGTTACTAGTTCTGTTGTACTTACAGTTAAGACAGTAACTATCCTAATTTCCCCTGGAAACTTACATCTCAGATCTATTACACCGAGGGTTTCAGTATATAGCTGGGTTTACATTAATTTACAGTACAGACAGTAACTATCCTAGTTTCCCTTAGAAATTCACATAACAGCTAGATTACACTGCTGGTCTTACGCAGTGTGTAGCTGGGGTTGCCATATTATTTTGTTATACTGCAGGGTATACACTACCATTCTCTTCTTCCCACAGAGAGAAACTACCATTTCCAGTATGGCTTTTCGCCTTGAGAAATGTCAGATGTCCCTGCCAACAGGCAGCTGACTGGCAGCATTGTCAGCTTCTCACAGGCCCAAAGGCCAAACTGAGAGAGGCAAGTGGAGTCCCCATGGGCACTGAATACAGTGATGGAAGGCTACAAACCAACTCCGATGCTGGCCACCACTATAATTCTGGCGCCTCAAATGTCTCAGGGTTTTCTAGTGTTGACGCCCTGGCTGACTGAGTGTTTCCGAATGAGTTCAGATGAAGGAGTGTCAACCTACATCCAAACCCCTCATTCTGGCCAAGAGTTCTGTCTGACAGACACGTTAACCTGCCATTACAGTTGTCCACACACGCCCCTCTCGCTGTTGCGGGTGAACTAGGGGCTTCCCCAAGTGTGTTGTGCCCAGCTAGGGCAATAGACTATTTTCACAGACGCAGGCAAAACGAAAGCTTTATCAGTTTTTGTTAACAATGGTGAGAGTTTTGGGCCAGGGCCTATCCGACCGGACGCTCACATTGCATGGTGGACACTTACTGCAGCATTTCGGCTGGCCCGCCAGCCTTTGCCTTTTGCTGTGGTGGCACATTATACTGGAGGATTAACTGCCTTACCTGGACGATTGGATAGTCTGCCCCATCCATGGAACAGGCCACAACGGACACGAGGACCCTCTTGAACCACATTTGTGTTCTGGGCCTCACCCTAAACGAGGAGAAGAGTCACCTGACCCCCTCACGAAAGGTGATCTACCTCGGGATGTCCATAGACTCGACTCTCATGAGGGCACGTCTCCCTCAGGTGAGAGTAACAAAATCCTATCCTACCTCAATCGTTTCCGTCTCGGACGAGCCATGTCGGTGTTAGAGTGCCAGCAGTTACTCAGCCTATTGACGGTGGCTTCACTGTTGGTTCCACTGGGCATTATCCATCAGGACACTCCAGCGATGGTTCAACTCCCGCGGCCGGCACCCAAAACAACACAGACACAGTCAACTGTTGGAGATGACTGCATGTTTGAGGACCCTATCAAAGTGGCTATCCTGTTAAAGGGGGTGAGCCTGATCAGAGTCCACCACAGAGAGCTGGTGTGCACTGAAGACACTGACGGGTTGAGGTGCCGTGTTCAGAGGCAGCTGGTCGCTGGATTCCCCCATGGAGTGGTCAGCAATTTCTACAAACCGGTTTTTGCTTTGTCATTATGGGGTATTGTGTGTAGATTGATGAGATTTTATTTATTTAATCCATTTTAGAATAAGTCTGTAACGTAACAAAATGTGGAAAAAGTCAAGGGGTCTGAATACTTTCCAAATGCACTGTAATTGATTGACATTTAAAACATCTGGTCATAAAATAAGACAGGACATTGGCTGCATATCAATTAGTCTACAATGGCTTCCTCTCCTCGTCTCCTCTCCCTCATCAGCGCCGATGTGGGAAGACAGGACAGGTTAAAGCAGGGATGGGCAACTTTGATGGGGGTGGGGGCCACAAAATCTGAGCTCATCATGAGGGGCCGCAGTGGCTCGTGGGTCTGTGTACCGGCATCCATACCCACACATGCAGTCAGAGCTATCTCTATCCTTTTGGGGTCCCTAAGCAACATGTTTGTTTGTTTTACCTGCACCATTGTTAAGTGTGAACTCATGGAAGGTCAATTTTTTCCGGATCATCTGGTGTTGCCATGATGCTCATGCAGTGCCTTTCCCCCTCCTTTCTCCTCTCCATTTAGTTGGTTCTGGGGCAGGACAGAGCCCAGAACAGCTCCACTGCTGCTTAGAGTAGGTCAGCTGAAGCCTTCAGAAAGCAGGAGGCTTCTCCTTCTGACTACTGGACACTGCACTCCAAAAGACTGTTCCCAAACACCCCGCTTACTAAACGCTCCCCTGTCCCCTTCTCCAAGCAGGAATTCTGGGAGATGCCAGGAGGCAAAATGGGGAATATCCAACTGGCCAACCAGGACCTGTCGTCATGGATCTAGCGTTGCCCCATTGTCATCAAGACGCCAAATTGTCCAGGATCTTCGGCTGGGGTGACTTCTACTCCAACCTCAAGACGGTGAAGCTCAACCTGCTGATCATGGGCAAAATTGTTGACCACGGCAACGGCTGGACATCTACTTCTGCCACAACTCCACAGGTGAATGCAACGTGTCCATCAGCCTGGTGCTGCCCGCAAAGGAGGTGGAGTTCGACCTGGAGCGCAAGAGTATGCTCCACCCCAAGGACTCCAAGACCTTCAACTGTCAGGTGGAGTACGAGAAGGTGGAGCACAATAACCGGGTGGCCCTCTGCAACTACGACCCATCCAAGACCTGTTCCCAGGAGCAGACCCAGAGCCATGTGACCTGTATGTGTTCCATGGATCATCTGCATCTACGCGTCTTTCTATAGTACGGACTATCGCCTGGTGCAGAAGGTCTGTCCGGACTACAACTACCACATTCAAGGCTCCTATATGCCCTCAGGCTGAGGACAGCCTTGGAGACAGTAAAGGGCACAAAGAGACAAGTTGCTGGCTGGGGGGTACAAAGCGACTTTGTATGGGTGCAAGGAGAAACGTGTGAGGGTTCTCGTAGACAAAACATTTTGGGGGTATTTCAAGGCGTTGCAAAGACAAAGTGTATTTTTGCTTTAGACTACATTGCAGTCGGACTGCTGAGAATCACTGAACTACAAATAAATACTAATTGTGTGATCCAGATTAGTGCTTATGTTCCACGCCTTGTTCAAGCTAATCCCGAGTGGCGCAGTGGTCTAAGGCACTGCATCGCAGTGCTAGCTGTGCCACTAGAGATCCTGGTTCGAATCCAGGCTCTGTCATAGCTGAGGATCAGCATGGCAGATGTGTTGTTACCTACCCTTACCACCTGGGGGTGGCCCGTCATGAAGTCCAGGATCCAGTTGCAGAGGGAGGTGTTTAGTCCCGGGGTCCTTAGCTTAGTGATGAGCTTTGAGGGCACTATGGTGTTGAACGCTGAGCTGTAGTCAATTAATAGCATTCTCACGTAGGTGTTCCTCTTGTCCAGGTGGGAAAGGGCAGTGTGGAGTGCAATAGAGATTGCGTCATCTGTGGATCTGTTGGGGCGGTATTCAAATTGGAGTGGGTCTAGGGTTTCTGGGATAATGGTGTTGATGTGAGCCATGACCAGCCTTTCAAAGCACTTCATGGCTACAGACGTGAGTGCTACGGGTCGGTAGTCATTTAGGCAGGTTACCTTGGTGTTCTTGGGCACAGGTCTGCTTGAAACATGTTGTTATTACAGACTCGGTCAGGGAGAGGTTGAAAATGTCAGTGAAGACACTTGCCAGTTGGTCAGCGCATGCTCTGAGTACACGTCCTGGTAATCTGTCTGGCCCTGCGGCCTTGTTGACCTGTTTAAAGGTATTACTCACATCGGCTACGGAGAGCGTAATCACACAGCCGTCCGGAACAGCTGGTGCTCTCATGCATGCTTCAGTGTTGCTTGCCTCGAAGCGAGCATAGAAGTGATTTAGCTCGTCTGGTAGGCTTGTGTCACTGGGCAGCTCGCGGCTGTGCTTCCCTTTGTAGTCCGTAATAGTTTGCAAGCCCTGCCTCATCCGACGAGTGTCGGAGCCGGTGTAGTATTACGATTCAATCTTAGTCCTGTATTGACGCTTTGCCTGTTTGATGGTTCATCGGAGGGCATAGCGGGATTTCTTATAAGCGTCCGGGTTAGAGTCCCGCTCCTCTGTAGCTCAATTGGTAGAGCATGGCGCTTGTAACGCCAGGGTAGTGGGTTCGATCCCAGGGACCACCCATACATAAACATTTATGCACACATGACTGTAAGTCGCTTTGGATAAAAGCGTCTGCGAAATGGCATATTATTATTATTATTATTACCCTTTAGCTCAGTGCGGATGTTGCCTGTAATCCATGGCTTCTGGTTGGGGTATGTACGTACGGTCACTGTGGGGACGACGTCATCGATGCACTTATTGATGAAGCCAGTGACTGATGTGGTGTACTCATCAATGCCATCGGAAGAATCCTGGAACATATTCCAGTCTGTGCTAGGAAAACAGTCCTGTAGTTTAGCATCTGCGTCATCTGACCACTTCCGTATTGAGCGAGTCACTGGTACTTCCTGCTTTAGTTTTTGCTTGTAAGCAGGAATCAGGAGGATAAAGTTATGGTCAGATTTGTCAAATGGAGGGCGAGGGAGAGTTTGTACGCGTCTCTGTGTGTGGAGTAAAGGTGGTCTAGAGTTTTTTTTCCTCTGGTTGCACATTTAACATGCTGGTAGAAATGAGGTAAAACAGATTAAAATTTCCCTGCATTAAAGTCCCCGGCCACTAGGAACGCCTCCTCTGGATGAGCATATTCTTGTTTGCTTATGGCCTTATACAGCTCGTTGAGTGTGGTCTTAGTGCCAGCAACGGTTTGTAGTGGTAAATAGACAGCCACGAAAAATATAGATGAAAACTCTTGGTAAATAGTGTGGTCAACAGCTTATCATGAGATACTCTACCTCAGGCAAGCAAAACCTCGGGACTTCCTTAATATTAGATTTCGTGCACCAGCTGTTATTGACCGGAGGCAGCTGTTCCATATTGCCGATGCACGGAAAACCCAGTCAGCTGTATGTTATCCATGTCGTCGTTCAGCCATGACACTGTGAAACATAAGATATTACAGTTTTTAATGTCCCGTTGGTAGGATAGTCTTGATCGGAGCTCATCCAGTTTATTATCCAATGATTGCACATTGGCTAATAGTATGGAAGGTAGAGGCGGGTTACCCACTTGCCATCAGATTCTTACAAGGCACCCCGACCTACGTCCCCTATATCTCAGTCTCTTCTTCATGCGAATGACAGGGATTTGGGCCTTGTCCGGTGTCGTTAAAGAAAAAATCTTTGTCCGGTACGAGGTGAGTAATCGCTGTTCTGATATCCAGAAGCTCTTTTCGGTCAGAAACATTATGTACAAAATAAGGTACAAATAACACGAGAAAACACACACAATAGCACAATTGGTTAGGAGCCCGTAAAACGGCAGCCATCTCCTCCGGTGCCATTGAAAACTTTGGGGGCCCTATGGTTGTCACCATATTAAAGTCATAGTCAACATAGCTAATAGAACTAACTCGTGATTTGAATGATGCAGCAACACCAGATTAACAGCATCAGCTTTTTGACCCTCTGCCCCAGTTCCTAGAGGAAAGTGGACTGCGGTGTGAGGGGATGCAGAGGCTCACTTTTTCGGGGGCTTTTCTGGACCACTGCTGAGGTGTGGTGGTCTTACTGGTACTTTTACAGTCGCCGAAGCGTCACTCAGGTGGGTGCTACATTTCAGTAGTCGACGATCCAGCCTACCTACGCAGGAGGAGCTGTGACTATCAAAGACGATGAGGTGCCCGTGGCCTGTCTGTCTCTACCTCCCAGCCTGGCTGTATCATCTATGCTCCCTCCTCTCAAGATTCTACCTTTCTGAATTGCCTATCATCTAAATATGTGGAACACCATCGCCCAAATACTGCCAGATCCCTATATTTGTTTTATGAAATCATTTTTGGTTGATTTTGTTTTTAAAGCGACAGATTCCACTTGGAATGAAAAGTGCTAAATAAAATAAATAAATAATGATTATTATTATGATTATATAGCATTTGCAATGTCATCAACAGCTATTGTTTCAATTCAACCCAGAGTTCAACAAAAAATAGACAATACATATGCCTAGGGTTTCAAGCTCTGGTTGAATTCAAATTCATTCTTCAAATTAATCATTAAATATGTTGGATTCACGTCTCCATCTGAACCAAAAATCTAACTTAAAGAATAGGACTAAATCAAATCAAACTTTATTTAAAGTGCATTTAAAGTTAGATTAGATTAGGTCTGAATACTTTCCGAATGCACTGTACATATGAAGTGGGTAAAACAGTATGTAAACATTATTAACGTGACCAGTGTTCCATGACTATGTACATATGGCAGCAGCCTCTAAGGTGCATGGTAGTGTAACTGGGTGGTAGCCGGCTAGTGACAGTGACTAAATTTCAGGGCAGGGTACCTGCTAGTGATGACTATTTAACAGTCTGATGGCCTTGAGATAGAACCTGTTTTTCAGTTTCTCGGTCTCAGCTTTGATGCACTTGTACTGACCTCACCTTCTGGATGGTAGCGGGGTGAACAGGCCGTGGCTCGGGTGGCTGAGGTCCTTGATGATTTTCTTGGCCTTTCTGTGACACCGGGTGCTGTAGATGTCCCAGTGATGCGTTGGGCAGACCGCACCACCCTCTGGAGATCCCTGCGGTTGTGTTCGAGCAGTTGCCGTACCAGGTGGTGATACAGCACGATAGGATGCTCTCAATGGTGCATCTGTAGAAGTTAGTGAGGGTCTTAGGGGCCAAGAGGAATTTCTTCAGCCGCCTGAGGTTGAGGTGCTGTTGCGCCTTCACCACACTGTCTGTGTGGGTGGACCATTTCAGATTGTCAGTGATGTGCACACTGAGTAACTTGAAGCTTTTCACCTTCTCCACTGCAGCCCATCAATGTAGATGGGGGCGTGCTCCCTCTGCTGTCTCCTGAAGTCCACGATCAGCTCCTTCGTTTTGTTGACCTTGAGGGAGAGGCTATTTTCCTGGCACCACTCTGCCAGGGCCCTCACTTCCTCCCTGTAGGCTGTCTCGTCGTTGTTGGTAATCAGGCCTACCGCTGTTGTGTCGTCTGCAAACTTGATGATTGAGTTGGAGACACGCGTGGCCACGCAGTCATGTGTTAACAGGGAGTACAGGAGGGGGCTGAGCATGCACCCTTGTGGGGCCCCTATGTTGAGGATCAGCGTATTGGAGGTGTTGTTGCCTAACTTCACCACCTGTGGGCAGCCCATCAGGAAGTCCAGAAACCAGTTGCACAGGGTGGGGTTCAGACCCAAATAACTAAAAAAATAATAATAACGGAAAAGTGGTGCGTGCATATGTATTCACCACCTTTGCTATGAAGCCCCTAAATAAGATCTGGTGCAACCAATTACCTTCAGAAGTCACATAATTAGTTAAATAAAGTCCACCTGTGTGCAATCTAAATGTCACATGATCTGTCACATGATCTCAGTATATATACACCTGTTCTGAAAGGCCCCAGAGTCTGCAACACCACTAAGCAAGGGGCACCACCAAGCAAGCAGCACCATGAAGACCAAGGAGCTCTCCAAACAGGTCAGGGACAAAGTTGTGGAGAAGTACAGATGAGGGTTGGGTTATAAAAAAATATCCGAAACTTTGAACATCCCACGGAGCACCATTAAATCCATTATAAAAAAATTGAAAGAATGGCACCACAACAAACCTGCCAAGAGCGGGCCGCCCACCAAAACTCATGGACCAGGCAAGGAGGGCATTAATCAGAGAGACAACAAAGAGA